ATTGGATACTTCACTTTTCCTTCCAAAGAAAACCTATCAGGGGGCACACCACGATTTTTGCCTTAGTAGCAACTTATATGTACTTATAACATCATTGGTTACATGAGCATCAATTGTACTTACCTCAGGGATATTCAGGGAAGACGTATTGGATGATAGCATTATCGAGCTAAAGAGAGGGAAAGCAACTTTGGCACAAGTCTCGGGGCTACTAGCTTTGGCAGCAGCTGGCTGAACGCTAGCACAGGGACTCGCGAAATTCTCTTATTCGAAAATCAATGGCTGAACCCTTATAGCAGTCTCAGCAAGAAGGGACCGAGGCTCTGCTACATTAATCGGCATGGCATTATCATTATCACGGTGCACTCCCCCTGAAGCAAGTAGTCTTGTACATCCAACCACCCAAAAACACCATCAAGATCACAAATACGAGCATTCTCCCCCTTGTGATCAAAAGGTGATGATGCTGGAGGATAAAAATATTTCGATTTAGAAAAAGTCACATTCGTGGTGGCCTGCATGTAGCAGGTTTCAGGGTGATAACACTTATAACCTTTTTGTTGGGATGCAAATCCAACAAAGACACACCAAAGAGCACAGGGATCCAATTTACTACGATGAATCTTGTGGATATAAACATAAGCAACACATCTAAACACCCGAGGAGTAAGAGTGTTGGTAGAGATAACAGGAACATGTTCTGTCAATACTTGGAGTGGAGTACGGAATTCTACATCCCGTGATGGCATGCAATTAATTACATACACTGCATAGGCGACCGTGTCCAGCCAAAAACTCTTAGGTATGGACGCACCAATAAGCAATGCATGAGCAGTTTCCAAAATATGACGATTTTTTCTCTTAGCAACCCCATTTTGTTATGGGGTATGAGGACAAGTTGTCTCATGGAGGATTCCTTGATTACAGGAAAAAAAAAGATAGCTCAGAGTTAACATATTCACCCCCGTTATCAAAATGGATAACTTTAATAATAGAGGAATATTGTATAGCCACCATCCGAGAAAAAGACTGAATAATCATACTAACATCACTTTTATGTTTCAACACATATACTCATGTCATACGAGTGCAATCATCAACAAACGTAACAAACCACTTAACCCCTGAAATGGTATTAATGGGTGAAGACCCCCAAACATCTGAATGCACAAGCTCAAATGGAAACAATCTTTTATTCATACTGGGAGAAAACGAAGCACGATGGCTCTTAGCAACAATACATACTTCACAATGTAAGTTTGAATCTTTTATTTCATGAAACAAACTAGGCAACATACGCCTTAAATAACCAAAAGAACCATGTCCTAATCGATGATGCAACAACTAAACTTCTTACAGATTACTAGTACGGGATGCTCAAACTGCATTAATTATACCAGGAACAACGTCATCCACATAATACAACCACTCTCTCTTAGTGCCACGCCCAATTATCTCCTTGGTCTGAATATCCTGAAGTAAACAAAAAAACGGATACATAAGTATAACACAATCCAATTGCTCAATAACTTGAGGAATAGCTAATAAATGATGAGAAAATGACGGAACAAGCAAGCAGTGGTGAAGAGAGAGAGACGGCGTGAGGTCCACTGTGTCGGCCCCAATCACCATGATAATGGTGCCATTTGCCGTTGCAACACACTTTTGATGAGTTGTTGTCATACACGTAAATAAATTTTTATCGAATGTCATATGATCAGTTGCACCAAAGTACAATCCAACCTGTATGGTGCTCAGTACTAGAGGCTAAAAGAACACGTCCAACAGTACCTGTATTGGACGAGGATTACCTAGGATTGGTCCTAGTCAACAAAGTTTGACTTGGATCCCCTTAAGTCTGCACGACATCCTTGTTACCAAGTGTTGCAGCGGCTACGAATGCACGACTCCCACTAGCTCCATTAGCAGCTCACTCATTTGCATGCAATTTTTTCTTTAATTCTGGGAACCATTCAGGTACGCCATATTTTTTAAAACATGTATCCGGCTTATGGGCCACATAGCCAAGGCCGGCTGTGTTCTATTAGGAATCCATAGGTGGTTGAATCCTGATACAAGAAGGAGTTTCGGCAGGATAAGAATGTAGAAGTTTGGATTGAATGCGGCTTGATAAGGGGGTTGATTTCAAAGTCCTAGTAAGAGTCAGACTGGTCGGGATAGGTTAGATCAGGGGAAAGAGTTCTAGTCCGAGTATGGTTGTGATTCGAGCGGAAGCAGGTTGACTACTCTAAATAGATGGAGGATGACATCATTAAAGCCCTCTCCAACTCAGCACACAAACTACCCTGCGCAAACCCTCGCTTTCACGAAACCTCTAAACAACCTTGAGATTTTTATTTTCTTCTTTCGCTGACACATCTTCAGTTTGGATAAACAGCACTGTGAAGGCAACCAGTGAACATCTTCAGTTTGGATAAACAGAACTGTTGTCGTAGAATCAACCAACCGCGGAGCACCTTCAGTTTGGATAAACAGCACTGTGTCGAGGCCGACTGGTTATTTATCCAAGTCTCGGTCAAGAAGGATTTTGGAGTTTTTATTGGCAGAGGTCATCTCATTAGCCTTCTCGGCGAAGTGAGGTGTTACGAATTACTAGGCTCGGCACATTGAACGCCTAGTTGTTTTATGATTGGATACTCACAAGTAGGCTTTAGAGTTCGGCACTCTGACGGCCGAACCACGTTTACCATCAAGACATATATCTTTTTTGAGTATATGTGCCCCTATACTCTGGTGTTGATTCGGCGTGCTTATACTCTTACGAATATAATCACTGTGACCAAATCCAGTGCCGATGATTTGTGAACTTCGCAGAACTAATAGCCTTGTTTTCAGGCTCTAGAACCCGTAGGCTGAGAGTGTTCCTTCCTCGGCCCCAGTCGCAAGATCAAGAAGTCAGCCGCACGCTCAATGCTACATTAACACATTTTACTCCTCGGCTGACGAGTTACCACTCCCAGCATACAACCGAAGGACGTAGTTAGCTCATTAGTTACTCGGCCTACCCGCCATGTAGGCTTGGTAGTTTTTAGGGTCAACATTTCCGTATGACAGGTTTGCCTACAGAAAGTACACTTCAAATCATCTTTATTTTCTCGAGTAAATGGGCGAGAATTTGTTGATGATGACAAACTATATAACTGGCCAGACGATGGTGGTCGTGACACCATAGCCACAAGGGGTGTTCCTCCTTGATTCCCAACAGCACTGCCTCCCATCATAGTAGCATGGTGTTGTGCTTCCTGCCTAACAACAAAAAAACACTTCCTCGATGGATGGTAATGGTTGAGTTCTCAAAATATCACTCTGTACATTATCAAATATATCATTAAGTCCTGCTAGAAAAGCATACACACGGTCCAGTTAGATTTCTTCTCGAAGTGTCTTCAAGTCAATAACACATTTCATCTTGATTGGTCTCCTTTGATCCAGTTCTTGCCAGACAACTTTGAGATCGGCATAATATACACCAATAGGCCGTCCTTATTGTCGAAGTCGGAATGACTTTACCTTCAACTCGTAAATCTAAGAGATATCAGACCCATCATAATAAGTTCGAGCAACTTCTTCCCATACTTCTTTAGCGGTACAAAGATGGATGAAAAACCCCATGATGGTAGGATCCATGGAATTAATCAACCACCATTTCGCAATTGCATTTCCAGTCTCCCAAGTTTCATACTTGGCACTGTCTTCCTTAGACTTCTTAATGCTCCCTGTCACGAACCCTTTCTTACCCAGCGATATGCATTTCCAGTACTTTGGACCAAAGAGGATAATTTGATCCATTGAGTTTTACGGTACTTGGTACATTTAAAGCATCACTCTAAATTACAATCGGACTCAAAATTGAGTTGTTGGCCGAGCCATGCAACCCACCCTCCAATTTTAGGCCTAATCCTTCTGTAACACCTGCCATGGATCACACACCGTTACACCCGTAGAGCACGATAGGCAATACTCGTGCAGCTTTCGGTTTGCTGCAACGAACGCAGCAAGAACACGAATCTGCAGTTTGAACACGCAGCAGCCGTAGCACGGTAGAATTTTTTAGGGTTACGATTAGGCTCCAATGCCAAATAGAAATTTACGGCTTGATTTTCATGTATTGCATAATTTGGTATATAAGTACATACAATCCTTGTTCTCAAAGGAAAACTAAAAACAACACAAGAGATATCCTTCCCAATAAAGGACTCTAATATTTACATTCCTATTTTGGAAAGATTACTCACGGCAACAAATAACATATAATGTATGTATCTATTTTGAACACTTCTCGTGATAGCAATCAACTTCTTGTAAAGTAGTTAAGGAACAACCATTTTATAGATATATACCATTATCAATGTAATTAGTTATTGTTTGGTCAGAGCAGAATGGAATCATCATTCAGTTTTCTATACATTTTTTTTATTTTTTATAATATCAAAGATACTCCTTTCCCATGCTTACAAGTGTGGCATATTGTTGCAAGAAAAATATGTGCCTACCTACCTACCTACCTCCAAACATAATAATTATATTCTTTCAAGTTACTTAAAAAACAAACTTCATGAACTTTCAAGCCACTCTCAAGCAATTTCCTTCTTTTATTTCATAAGATGAAGCCAACAATATCTTCCATATTCTAGGGTCAAATACTTGTGAAATCAACAGCAGGAACACAAATTCAGCAAAGCACGACGGGATATTTGTGCTTGGTTGCTTGACATGCTCAATACTTTCGACATGCGCCTTTACATATGTTATAGACTTTATCGTCTGACAATGGATATTCTCAACACTATCATCTCATTTTCTGGAATTTCTAGCATGGTTCAAATCCCCAGTTCACAAAATCTTTTTACAAATTTTCATCCAGTGAGGCGTGCAGAACTGAGAGAAAGCGTTGTGAAGATGTGGAGAGAGAGAAAGTGATTAATAACCTTTTTTTCTTTAGTTTTTCATTTTTTTTTAAACAGGATTTTACACAAAAAGGCACGAAATTATTATAAGTTCCATTAATTAAATGAAAAGATATACCAACTCTCCCAAAATCTTCAAAAATATACACACCACAAGCTACGGCAATTTTCTTTTGCAATATTCTACAATATCTCAAAAGCATATTTTTATTTGAGACGTAATTACACAAACACTTAATTAATATTAATCTCCATGCTGTATTGTATCTAGAAGGTGCAAATCGTCATTCAATCCCGCCTCTTGTTCTTCTTGAGCAGGATGAACGACCAGCATCCACTGCTCTTGCGCCTGCAACCATGCAACCAGAAACACAATTATATAAAACAAATAGACTTGGGACAAAAAATTAGGATTTAGTTAAATATTCTGTGTTGCGTTGAACTAAATATTGAAAGTGATGTGTGTACAGTTTCACTCATTCGATGATTTGAACCGACGTGTTCTAAAAATCGGCCTAGGCGGCACCTAGGCGCTAGGCGGTGGAGCGCCGCCGGGATTTATGCCAAAGCGTTCATCAAATCGAGTGTAGTAAGCCGCCTAGGCGCTATCTAGGCGGTGGTAGGCGGTGGTAGGCGGTGGTAGGCGGCGGTCTAGGCAGCCTCGTAAGAACCTCGGCGATTTTCCATCTCACTGCGATCTGACAAGAAGAGAGAAAGGGGACTGGAAATTTTGGCGATACATACAAACCCCATTGATCGTTCAAAGAATCCACCTCAGATTTCTTCTGCTGCTTGACCAGCGGGCCAAGTTGATGTTGTTTGATCGTTCTGGATTTTGGGATGAAAGTTGAGGGTTAGCGGGGAAGAGATCTGATGATAGGAAATGCCTCTTGATTCTAAAACAGAGAGGAGAGCAAGCAGCTTCTCTTTGTTGAAAAAAAAAAGTGTAGGCGGTGGAAACAAGGCGTTGGGCGATGGAAACGAGGGTTTGAATGCGGAATTGGAAACGAGGCTGGCTTTCCATAAAGACTTTTTATATTAACATTCCACAAAATGTTAAATGTATCTCATATTAAAATTTAATATTAATGACTTATTTACTTTACTATGTAATGAAAATTTTAACCTTATTAGATTTAAATAATAATAAAAAATTTATAAATACACTACAAATCTCTTTTAACGTATTATTTATTTATTTCAACTATCAAAGTCTCTATCATTCTCCATTGTTGAATAAAACCCTAAGCAATGAAACTATAAACATGTTGATTGAGAAAAATTATTTTTGACAAATGGAACACGAAATCAGTGTTTCGAAAGTTTTGAAATCATTATTATTGTTATTGAAAATTGTTCAAATGAGTCTAAACTTTTTTTTTATATCATTCAATTTGAAATCATTCGGCAAACTAAAGTTTATATAGTTTGAAATCATTCGGCAAAATTAAAAATGAGTGTTATAAGATTTGAGAAATGTGGGATGTATAAAAAATGTGGGGTGTGTGTAAAAAATGTAAGATATATATTAAGAATGTGGGGTGTGATGGTATTATGGGAAAGGAAGTGAAGTGTATTAAGATAATTTTTAATTAAAAAAGTAAATATGAGATGTATTAAGTACATGATGTTTATTCAACAATTTGTGAGGTGCTAATATAATAAGCTTTTAATAAAAGTGAGAGGTATCTAGACGATTTGATGGAAACGAGGCATTCTTATAATAAAAGAGAGAAGACTTGTGATAAGGAAAGGGTGGGGTGGGGGGTGGGTTGGGCTAGGCTGGGCCTGCTATTTTATATGCTTATCATCTTTTTCACTTTTGAATTAGGGTTAAGAAAACAACCCATTTTATTAAGTAGACTTAGTTTTTGTTATAATAAATTTAATTAAATAAATAAAAATTACAAATTTGCCTAGGCCGCCTAGCCGCTAGGTGCCAGCCCACCGCCCAACTAGCGTCTAGCGTTTTTTAGAACATGCTACTGAATATATATAAAAACATCAATATATATTTACATATACTTCTTGAATCTCAATACTTTTTAAAAACAATTTGCTATAATATACTTCTTGAAAATTGATATATCACTTGTCACTTGTAATTTTGAGGAGTTTTAACTCCAAGTTCAAGGTAACGTTATCCATTATTGACAAACACTTTAATCTCAATACTTTTTAAAAACAATTTGCTATAATGTAAAAGGAATTTATTTCACTAATGCGACTGTGAGTTGATTCTTATATTTAGAAATCAAACACCTTAAGTTTAATTCTTACAGCACTTTCATAGGCCCTATGTTATTAAACTTGTTTGTACCAAGTTAACACTTTCATAGGCCCTATGTTGATATTTTTGACAAATGAAAAATATCTGAGATAGTTCTAAAAATACTACAATGTAATGTTTTGTAAACGTCACAAAAAAATTTTAATGGTGCCAAATTTTGAAAAGGCCCCCCCAAAACTTGCACAACTTTTGCGCCAAACAATCCTTTGTATACATGTTTCAATCTTATAGTGATGACATTTGGCAAATCAGTTTCTAGAATGTGAGTGAGTTACATGCAACTTTACCAGTTCCCACATGTTTTTATGCTTTCTTGCCTTTCCCCTTTCTCTCTTCCGTTAATGGAGACACCGAAATTAAGAAATTTAGATGTATTTCAAGTTTCACCCAAATGTCCCACATGCTTACTTAGAGGATTGTTTCTGTTAATTCAAACGAAAATTCTTTTACGCTCGGGTGTGTGACATGCACTTAAGCAAGTGTTTGATGCGCGATCAATGATCCAATGGAAAATGATCTAACGGGCAAGCATTCCACTATACACAGACGCATACCAAAACCCCCAATTTAAATAGATTTTGGTTTTGGTTTAGAATTTTTATATATTCTTTCATGAAGTCAATAAACTCAAGACTCCCCTGTTTTCATCACGAATGAATGATCACTTGTTCCGAAAATTTTAAAAAAATCATGGAAATTGGTGTCTGAATGAATTGAAGGCAAACTCAAAATTAAAGAGCATGGTTTCCAGAATAAAATTTAAGAAAAAATAAATTTCCTATCGCTCGAATGGAAGTGAAACTCCGAGTTAAAATTGATAACATACCTGCTGTTGCTTCTGCTGCTACAACTGCTGCTGCTACCGCTGCCACTGCTTTTTCTGCTTCCACTATTGATACTAGAAACACCACTTTCACTCCTTTCTGATACAGAAAATCTCTTCATCTTCCACCATTCATTATCCCCACCCACTACCTTCACAGATCCATCCAACCCCTGAGGCTTTGGAGACACCTTTGCACTCATATTATTGCCATTTGCATCCACCACCAAACACTCACCCTTCTCCTTAACGCTCTTATTATTCTTCTTCTTACCCCCCAAAGAAATTGGCAAAACCATCTTCAAAAGAAACCCCCCACTATCTATACTCCCACTCCTCATCACCAGTTTCTTCCTCTCACCATTTTTCTTCATTTCGTTTTCGTTTCCGTTTCCATTTCCCCTCCTTACCAAATTCTCAGTACTTCTATCATCGTATTCTTCCTCTTGACCTCGATATTGATTTCGATCTTCTTCTTCTTCGCCACCCATTGGCCTATACTTATGCTCAACGAGATCTTTCAGCGAAAGCTCGTAGCACGACTCAGGCATGTTCTTCACCATCTCCATGAGCTCCCTCTGTCCTCTGGCGATTGCTTGTTTTTTCGAAGCCGGGGACAGACTCCGGTAGTTCTTCACGCGGCTCGTCGTCTTCCGCAACGGCGGCGAGTCAGACTCGTCACCGGCAGCAGTAGTATTATCGACGTTGATCCGGCCTCCCATGCTGTGGTTTCCATATTTTTTAGTAGTTTTCTGAGGAGCCCGGGAAGCGTAATTTACGGAATGCCAAGAATCGTAGTTTGTTGTTGTGTCACTTTTAATTTCGTCGTCGTCGGCGCGACTGTTGAAGAGGAATGGGTGTTCATGTGGGTTTGTGTTGGGATCAAGCATGGTGTTTTGTTTCCTTAGAAAATTAGAGAGGAAAGGGAAGGAAAGTGATGGAAGAAGAAAGAAAATGGGGATCGTGTGAGGGGTAGGGTTGTTGTAGTAGTGTGTTTGAAGCAGGGATTGCCAGGTGGGTGGGTGCTGGGGGTTATCATCACTCACCCTTTTATTCTTTTGTTGTATTTGTCATTTTCTTGGCAACCAAGTTTTTAATGGAGATATCACGGCATTGGGTTGGGGTTTGGGAGGGTGGGGATCATAAAATGAATTTTTTTAAAGTCAAGGGGCTCTAGATGGGGCAGTGCTGGGTGGATGTGGGGACCTTAGTCTTTACTCGTCCTCCTCTATATATTTTTTGTGTTTTTTTTTTTTTAAAATTTTTTTTATTCTTTTTGAGGAGGAGCTCAGATGCCAAATTATTAGGCTTTTGATTACTTTTCTCTTTGCTAAATTCTTATATAATCAAGTCGGGTGGAGCAATATGTTATTTTTATGTATTGAGTTTGAGTTATTTTCTTACAATATTTACATATATTTAATATAATTATTATCTAGATTGTTAGAATGTGATATTTACATGAGTTATACCTTACCATGACATGGTAATTAACTATTGTAGTAAAACTTGATAATTTGAAGGAAATAATAAAAGTATCTAATACAATCACTATCTCGATTTTGAGACGATGATATTCACAAAAGTCATGTAAGTATTGTAGGGAAACTGGATCATCAAATACTAGTATTTACATAAGTTACATGGATTGTATTAAATAGTAATATTTATGAGTTATATCTTATTATCAAAATAATTGCACTAAATACATATAAATATTGTAGTTAATCTCGAAAATTTAAAGGAAAGAATGAAAGATTATTGATAGTTAAGTTTGTTTTTATCCAGGCAATATTCCACTTTATATATATCCTAAAGTGGAATTTACTATTGCTTGATTAAATGATACTTTAACTTGTCTTTGCTTTTATAAAAAGAAAAAAAAGAAAGAAAGAAAGGCCAATACGAAACAGCAAAAGCTCCTTCTACCTGCCTAGTAATTATTTTGTTTGATTAGAGCAACTATTGGAGGTCGTTTAGTTAAATTTCAGACTTAATTATAAGCCTTACATGTTTTTGGACTTTTTACAAAGGTGATGTTTGAGAGATTCTGTACGTAAACTATATTTTTGTAGATAATATGATGTGAGGGTTGATGGTTCAACTTCTTTTTAAATTAACTGAATAAAACATGAGCCAAAAGATCATTTTTACTATTTTATTTAAGAAATGAGAAGGAAATTTGAACTATTGACATTGGCTTAAGGTAAAATTGTCCTTACAACTCAAAGTATAAGTCATTAGTATGAGTTCAGTTTGTTTTTATCAAGGCAATATTCTACTTTATATTAATCTTTCAAATGCGAACTAAAAATAGAATTCTAGAAATGTTATCCAATATATAATCATCTTTGATATTTCATTAAGTAGTCATACTCATATTCTTAACCAAACTGAACTATAAGCTCTTGTAAAGTGAGGTTTATCAAGTTAAAGTAGGTGGAAATGTGTTTTGTATTTAAGAAAGTAAATAAATTGGCCGAACAAAACATGAGGCGAAGTTAAAAATTCACGTGAGTATATCTTCCGCTATGCATTATAGTGCATAGGTTTAATTAACTTTCGAAAGTTCAAATAGTTAATGGTTCAAAGAATCAATTAAGCTTCTAGTCCTTAGTTTTCTTTATAAAAATTTCAGAACTAAGATACTAATACTAATACTCCCTACTTTGCAGCTATTTTTGGTCATTCAGAACCTCCAAAAGCTAAAGCTTTTTTGAAAAGTTAGCTGGCATTACTAACATGAAAGTATTTTCACAAATAACTATGTAAATTACTATGTAATTTGTCCCCTGAAAAGCAAAAGCATGCATAAGATAAGACAAAACACAGTGTTTATGTAAAATTGCTTTTTTCCTTTTGAGTACAGGCATGTGGTGTCTATTATTTAAGCATGAACAGGTGACACCCGTGAAATCGATCACCTCCCATTATATCAATCGTGATTCAGTATCACTCACCGACTCACCACCATGATCAGAGAATGAACGTACGGGTGGGATATATATCACACCAAAGGTTTAGGGCGTTACTAAGTAATTTTTTCATCCTTCCTAATGTCTTACGAATAATTCCTGCATTTCTCACTTCATGATGAGCTCATTCCTCACTTCCAAGTAATATATTTTCACCGTAAAAATTTTATAATTGGAGCCGATTAATTTCTAACTCTAAATTTGAAGGTCATTCATACAAAAAAAATCATTCGAATTAGAGATCGTTTAGTATGTAAATGTACCAAATAAATCAAGGTGTATGTATTAAGTAACATATTAATGGTAAACCGTTCATTTATTTTATACATCTAAATTACTAAAGGATCTACCATTTGAATGATTTTTGTAAGTATGATCTTCAAAAAAAGATTAAGATATCGAACAGTTCAATATAAAATTTATGCCTTGAAGATACATTATTTACAAGTGGAGGAATGAGTTCATCCCTAATGAGGAATGCAAGTATTATCCTTATCTTATAATTTAAGGTTGGTAACATCATTATCACGTTGGTGATGATGATGAATGGTGGCTGCAGTCGTGAAGATGATTATGGTGGTGGTGGTGCTGGTGGTGATGTCATTGATGGTAATGGGTGGTGTTGATGGAGGGTGGTGGTGATGGTGATGATGGTGGGTGGGGGCGACGGTGTTGATGGTTGGTGGAGGTGGCAGGAACGATGATATTGGTAGGTAGTGGTGGTGGTGGTAGTGGCGGCAACGGCACCATCGACAATATGATGGCGGTTGGAGGTGGCAGTGGTGATGGTGATGATAGGTGGTAGTAGCAATGTTGATTATAGGTGGTGTTAATTGTGGCAGTGATGATGGTGGGTGGTGGTGACGCCGGCAATGATGATGGTGAGTGGGGGATCGAGGGGAGGGTGGTAGTAGCAGTGTTGATTGTAGGTGGTGTTGGTTGTGGCGGTGATAATGGTGGGTAGTGGCGAAGCCATAAATTGTCAAGAAGGGGTGAAATATAAAAGGGTAGAAGCTTCTACCCTTTTTTTGTCGCACTTCATAAAAAATTTTTGAAAACTCACCAAATACTTTCACAACCTTGCCCATTTCTCCACATTTGGAATAATGCAAGTATTATCCTTATCTTATAATTTAAGGTTGGTAACATCATTATCACGTTGGTGATGATGATGATGGGTGGTGGTGGTGGTGGTGGTGGTGGTGACGTCGGTGATGGTAATAGGTGGTGTTGATGGAGGGTGGTGGTGACAGTGATGATGGTGGAGGGTGGCAGTGGCGATGATGATGGTGGGTGGGAGCGATGGTGTTGATGGTGGGTGGAGGTGGCAGGAACGATGATATTGGTAGGTCGTGGTGGTGGTAGTGGCGGCAACAGCAGCATCGACAATATGATGGCAGTTGGAGGTGGCAGTGGTGATGGTAATGATAGGTGGTAGTAGCAATGTTGATTATAGGTGGTGTTAATTGTGGTGGTGATGATGGTGGGTGGTGGCGACACCGGCAATGATGATGGTGAGTGGGGGATCAAGGGAAGGGTGGTAGTAGTGGTGTCGATTGTAGGTGGTGTTGGTTGTGGCGGTGATAATGGTGGGTAGTGGCGAAGCCATAAATTGTCGGGAAGGGGTGAAATATAAAGGGATAGAAGCTTCTACCTTTTTTTTGTCGCACTTCATAAAAAAAAATTGAAAACTCGCCAAATACTTTCACAACCTCGCCCATTTCTCTGCATTTGGAATACAATTAAATCAACACATAACCACAAACATATTTAATGCAATCTTGTCGTGTTTCTTCACAAACTCATGTATTATTTTCTCATATGTGAGTGCCTTAACCTTGCACATGCCTTCAGAGCAATGTGTATGGTTAAATTAATAGGCTTTTCATCATTGCCCTTGACTCATATATCATGTTATGGAAGAGATACAAGGTATCTTCCCATCATATCTCTCTACAGTAGCTCCTGAGTGTGGCATTTAAGAGAGATAGTTAAGTAGGGTGATTCGTCAAACACCTTATCGGCATAACCAAGTGGCTCATATAATTGGCTCATATAATTTTTAAGTATGCATATTGGGCTCTATTCCCTCACTCAACATTGCATTAAAGTACCTATTGGCCAACATATACCGGTTGTGGCGTATAATGGCCTTTAAATAGAATTTGATCGAACTTGAAACTTCTCTACACACCCAACTCCTTTATATTATCAAACAACTTAACAAACTCTTGAATAATGATAGCCTTACCATATCCCTTCTTAACGATGTTGTTTTGGCCTGAGTATTAAAAAACAATGCATGAGAAGTAGTGAAGCATAAAACATAGATGCATTGAAGTAGCACAACAAATTTCGGTAGCAATTCAGAGGACCAAAGGGGCGCAATCCTCACACTTAATGGTGACTTCCAGATACCAAAGGGGTGGCCGCTCCTTCTTGTCCCCATGTAGCTTCACCCATAACGATGGGTGGTGGCAGTGCCAACGATGATGAATGGGGGCTGAGGGGGGGTGGTGGTGTTAGCGGTGTTGATTGTAAATGGTTTGGGTTGTGGCAATGGTGATGGTGATGGTTGGTGGCAACGATGATAGTGATGATGGTGGGTAGTGGGGGCGCCAACGATAATGATGTTGAGTGGAGATGGTGGCAGCGACAACGGCTATGGTGGTAGTGGTTGCAACAATGGTGGTCACTCATGCTTGAATTTATTTTTTTAACTCTCACTCATGGAAATACAGTAATGACAACTACATATTTACATGGAATTTAAACCTGGGAATTGGAGGTCCCAAAGTCAATTTTTTTGTTCCACGAGGAAATTCTATATTTCTAGGTTTATGAATCTAAATAAGGAAATTGGTGCATGTTAAGTTACAAATTTCAACTTTTGTTCAAATTTCAAGTTTATTTCCACCATCTGAACAGTGAGTAAATGAAAATAACAGGCAGTATATGGATCTCTAAAAGCATCTAGAACTAGTCTTTTGTTTGTGTCAATGTCATCCACAAGTGATTACATATAAGGGGTTTTCATCACAAATGGTCCCTAAAATTAACCATCCCATCAAGATGGTCCCTAAAATTGAAAATTGATCAACGTAGTCCATGAAAATGGGTGTCGCAAATCAATGTGGTTCTTCCCTCACAATTCTGTCAAATTTATTATTATTTAAATCTTTTTAATCTACATGAAAATATTTAATTAGACTTGTGAGGTGCCGTTATGTGTCACATTAGCATATAATAGAATTTTGATAGGATTGTGATGGATAGACCACATTGATTAGTGACACCCATTTGCAGGGACTACATTGATTGACTTTAAACTTCAGGAACCATCTTGATGAGGTGAGTCAATTCAAAGACTATTTGTGATAAAAACCTACATATAATAATTTATTTTTTTAATCAACCTAAATAACTTTTATCAATAAAAAAAGTTAATACAATATGTCACATCCCAACCTGGGGTCCACCACATCCCGGGCCCGCTCCACCACCGTAGCACGATATTGTCCGCTTTGGGCCCTGACTACGCCTTCACGGTTTTATTTCTGGGAACTCACACGAGAACTTCCCAGTGGGTCACCCATCATGGGATTTCTCTCGTGCGCTACTAGCTTAACTTCGAAGTTCCGATGGAACCCGAAGCCAGTGAGCTCCCAAAATGCCTTATTCTAGATAGGATGGGAATATACATATAAGGATCACTCCCCTGGGCAATGTGGGATCTTACAATCCACCTCCCTTAAGGGGCCCGACGACTCGTCAGCACACTACGGCCAGGGTTAGGCTCTGATACCAATCTGTCACATCCCGGGCCCACTCCACCACCGTAGCACGATATTGTCCGCTTTGGGCCCTAACTACGCCCTCATGGTTTTGTTTCTAGGAACTCACACGAGAACTTCCCAGTGGGTCACCTATCATGAGATTGCTCTCGTGCGCTACTCGCTTAACTTCGGAGTTCCGATGGAACCCGAAGCCAGTGAGCTCTCAAAATGCCTCATGCTAGGTAGGGATGGAAATATACATATAAAGATCACTCCCCTGGGCAATGTGGGATCTTACAACCCCGGGCCTGCTCCACCACCGTAGCACGATATTGTTCGCTTTGGGCCCCGACTACGCCCTCACGGTTTTGTTTCTGGGAACTCACACGAGAACTTCCTAGTGAGTCATCCATTATGGTATTGCTCTTGCGCGCTACTCGTTTAACTTCAGAGTTCCAATGAAACCCGAAGCCAGTGAGCTCCCAAAAGGCCTTATGCTAGGTAGGGATGGGAATATACATATAAGGCTTACAATATCCACTCCCTAGGCGATGTGGGATCTCACAATCCACCCCCCTTAGGGGCCCGACATCCTCGTCGGCATACTTCCGGCTAGGGATTGGCTATGATAGCAAATTGTCACATCTCGGACCCCGTCCACATAGCAAGATATTGTCCACTTTGGGCCCTGACTACGCCTTCACGGTTTTGTTTTTGGGAACTCACACGAGAACTTCCCAGTGGGTCACCCATCATGGGATTGCTCTCGCGCGCTACTCGCTTAACTTTGAAGTTCCGATGAAACCCGAAACCAGTGAGCTCCAAAAAAGCCTCATGCTAGGTAGGAATGGGAATATAGGGGCGATGTGGGATCTCACACAATATATATAATCAATTTGGTGCAATCATATATTCACACTATGGAATAGGATATCCAGGCTAATTTTTTTATTTTTTATTTTTTATTTTTTTTAATAAAAAAAGATTTTCAGGCTAAGTTGTACAACCACTAATTGCAGTGCTAGTGGCGATTACATATCCAATTTTCAAGTCCAAAGAGAAACCACTAAGAATGAATTTATCTCTGTTGACGAGTTGTATCTTAATTAGAGTCCAATTGAAAACCATATAGAATGAATTTCTCTGTGTTTACAAGTTGTATCTTAATTAGGATTGTACTTACTATCCTTGTTCTATAGTTAATTTGTCCCGGTGTTTTGGTACTCCTTACTTTTCTTGTTGCTTTCGCATATATTTTACCTAGACTTGATGGTAAAACAAACAATAACAAGAAAGCAAATCAAACCGTCCCTTGTTAGGAAAGGAAAGGAAAGGCAATTGTTTCCTAATAGAAATTGGTCAGCCCGTGAGCATGAGTAGTACAAATAGACCTCTATTACTCTCGTGTTAATCATTAATCTGTAACTACATTCTCCTTTTTCTTTTATTCCAAATTTCCAATACCATGGCTTTTGGCAAGAGAGGTTTTGAGAAACTTGAGCATGAAAGAAAGCGTCTCGAAAACGAAGAGACCGATGTCAAAAAGGTGCTCGCCGCAAACGCTTACAGAATCGAATGGCTAAGTGAGTGCATGGACTGGCTTCGCAAGGTCGATGAAGAGAGACACAAAATTGAGAATTTGGAGAAAAGGTATAAAGAGAGGGAGAGGACTAGAACAATCAACCAAGGCCAATCATGTGGACTCCTTCAATCTTCTTGGTGCCTTGATCTAAAGATTCGCATGAAAATAAAAAGGATCGCCAACCTGCGAAAGCAGATCAAACTCGACACGATAAGGAATCAGAGCGCGCCTGCACTGCCCGATCGGTTTATAAAGAGGGGTGCACTCAAGATAGATGATTTTCCATCACTCAATAACTATTTTGACGTGTTGTTTCTAAAGTTGCTTGTAAAAGATGGTCGTGACAAGTGCGCTAGGGTTTGCATATGGGGACCCTCCGGGGTGGGAAAGACAACGGTGCTGGAGAACGTGCACGACAGATTCTGTGAACTTACGAACACTGATCAGCCGTTTGACGTCATTTTTTGGGTAACCATGACGGAGGAGAAAGGCGTGGGAGACATACAACACATACTCGAAAAGCAGTTAGGGTTACAAGCGGATGAGTTGATGAGTAACTATGAGAGAGCAGAAATTATAGCTAAAGAGCTGGAAAACAAGAGCTACTTGTTGTTTATTGATCAAGTTTCTTCTGAGATTGATTTGGTGAGGATTGGCATCCGTAAAGGCCAACACAGAATGGTTGTGCTTGGACGCAGTGGTTGCTACTATGACGACGAGATCGGTGAGCGCGGTGAATCGTGGAAACAGGAGGATATCAAAATAGAGGGAATGTGTGAGGATGATGCCCTAAAGATGTTCAGGAAAATAGTAAACTCCAATAAAGATGTTATGAAGAATGAAGAAATCAAAAGAATAGCAACGTTAATAGTTAGGGAGTGTGGTGGGATTCCACAGTCGATCAAGACCGTAGCTTTCAATCTAGAGAAAGAAAGCGATCCCGCAGTATGGTGGGCCGCATTATCTCGTTTTGCCAACAGTTGAAACTTATACTGTTTATGGACGCTAATCTTTTGTATTCTTTTCCTCATAATTTATACATTGCCTTGGACCTTGAATTTTGTTTAACAATTTCATGCATATACTAATGAGAATTTTGTTTATTTATGAGATCCTAATGAGATCACTTTCAGAGATGGATGCATATACTCATAATCTCTAGTTGTTTACTTTGTTTATTTATGAGATCATTTTCAAAGACGGATGCATATAAAGACTTTTTTAATATTTCTTCGAGGATCTAAAAATGTTTGGTACTAGACCTTTTGGGCCCACCAAGGATTATGAAATGCCTATTCTCTTAGAGAGATGGCCCACTAGTCCACCCCTTAACAAAACCGATATTATCTCAACTTAATCGCTTACTGTTATGTGTTGGGTTTTATCACATAAGACGTCAATGTTATTAGGTCTAGAACCACACTTATATATTGTATTTTATTTTCTCAATTCCTCAATATGGGAGCACGCCCCCTATCGTGAGAACACCACATATTGGACCACAAGCCCAACCAATCTACATTGGACATTAACCGCAAAAGCATGGTGTAATATTAAATCCGATAACTCGGGTACAGTACAGAGCCACATGACCCACATCAAACCTGCTCTGAAACTATGTCAAATATTTGAAGAGACGGACCAGTGATCCCTCGGCAAGATGCGTTACTTAGCTATTGATGTCAGCAACACTCGGTACATGTTAAAATCTCTCGACAAGAACACCAAGTGCTCGCAAATGAGAAGAATTTTAATGGCCTTACTACAGGGTATCTCAAAACCTATGGGTTGGCATAAGAAGGGTAATGAACTTGCGACGGAACTCTGCGATGAAAGCATGGATCGAAATGGTGCAGAAACTGGCAGGTTACAATTAAATGTGGAATCAGATTCTACCGAGGCTGTTTGAGTGTTGAGATGGTTTTTGCAGCGGAAGGTGTATGTGGAAGCTGTCCAAGCCTGTCTGGCAGAGGATCCAAATCCTTGTGTAATTACCAAAAACCACGGCTAATTCTAATTTGGTATCTTCCATGTCCAATGGAAAGCGAATTAGAATTACCACACAACACCAATAAAACATTACTCAAATGAAGAAGAATGATCTTTTTTACCACAAAAAAAAAAAAAAAAAAAAAAAAAAAAGTTGAATGAAGTTAAAAATTTGTTCATCTTCAGTGATGATGACTCTAATTGTTTCCTATACAAGTTACATTATACACAATAAGCATCATCCTCATTCCCTGGTTAACCTGCTATGAAAATATGACCTTTTGCGCCACTCAAAGCGATCTTTGCAGCTCACACCGAATGATTAGGTTAGTCCCTTGTGTACTGCATAAGCTCAACCCACTGCAAACAGCAAGTCAAAGATTTCAGATACATAGAAAGAGAGGCAATGCGTTTTCTGGTCAAATCGCGGCACATAGGCATGAAAAACGCTGTGAACTATTATGCTTACCTGTCTCAGTAAATCAGCAAGAGTCCTAGGAAGTGCTTCAATGTTCCTCAGTACAATGTAGAATGGGAATGGAAAAAAGTCCATGTAATTTACCAGTTTGCAGCCACCCTCAAAAGAATATTCCTAAAGGAAGAATTGCAGAAAGGCATTCTGGAATTAGAGATCCACTCACGACATAATAAAAGAAGAACAGAGAGAAAAAACAGAGACTATATATTAAGAAAAAAGTACGAATAATTACCTTGTGGTCCATAATGGAACCATCTGGTGAGTTATCAAGAACCAAATATGCAACCATACGCTTCTTAGCTAAGGCATCCCTAACACACCGCCTTAAGTTCTCCTGCAAAGTTGATTTTGTTTAAGAAAAAATGAAACTGTGGACAAGCAGCAATAACGGCTTGTTGGCCACTTGGAAAGGGAGAGAAAAAAAAAATATTACCCTCTCGTGGAACCGGCCATCTCCAATTATCAAAATGAGCTGTTGTAGTGGATTCCATCCTGATGGGAGGCGTGCTCTTGCTACCGCTTCATCGAGCTTGGTGTTCAGATACTTCAACACATCAACAACTGGTTGATCAGCAATAGTATTCTCCTGCTTGAATGACAAACTCGAGATCATCTGCACAACAATATCAGTAAAACACATTACATGCCATATACCATGGGCCCTAACACTACTGAACAGAAATATGAAAGGAAAGGGCTTCATCCAACAATTTACTGCCCTAACAAAATACATAAATAACCTCTATGTTGCTATGTATTTCAGTTCAAGATAATACTGGCATTAAGGGCACTCACCTTGATTCCGGTTTCTCCAGTAAAAGGCTGATCGAAGTCATGCAGCACCCTTATGTTACCTTTCTTTCCAAAGCTTGCAACAGCGAGGCTCCCCATCTCTAGTTGGGACATTGCACGACATACTGTCACCAGAGCTTCGATAGCAGCATCACCACAGCCACTTTCAGACATACTAAGGGAATCATCAACAGCAATGACAACTTGATAATCACGTTTGTTAGGCCGGGTCCGTCTCAGCCATATTTTATCTTTCCGATAATGACTGGCTATGTATGGAATCACCTAATAAATTTTACACCACAAAGAAAACTTATTAAACTATGTTTTAGAAAAACTGAAGTTGGACACTGGTTGAGTTATCTTGTGTCTAACCTTCTTCATGTTAATCCGCTTGCCAGTCTTATAATCCCCTTGGAGCTTGCTGGCAAGATTAGGCTCCATGACAAGACGCAATTGTTCCGCCAACTCCTGTGACAATCTTGTCGTGGTCTGCTCACATCTTCTCCAAACAGCGGTAGCATTGCCCATAACATCATCAGAAATTTCCTCAGGATCTTGAGCTTTCCCCATGTCACCATCATTTACGGAAAGTTCACTGAGCTGCTTTATGTCACTAAAGTAGGATTTCTTGACAGAGACCACGTCCTCTACCATGCTTTGACCATCACGATGGCTATGAATTTCTTGAGATTGATCACCAGACAATTCTTCTGCACCAGAGAGAGGCATCTGGTCCTCGGTCTTATCCTTTAGCACTTGAGTATGACTCTGGTTAGGCTGTGGTTCTACTTTTTGCTTCTCAATTTCCATCTCAACAGGGCCATCTTTATGCGTTGAAAGATCTTCATCGGCGTTGGACTTACTACCATCTACATTTTTGTCAATCTGCTCAGATGTTGCAGGTCCCAAAGCCTGAGCTGTCCCCTTTTCATACTCAGAAACGTATCCAAACTCATCTGCATTTTCATTCTCAATTTCGTTCCCAATTTCTTCCTGTACCTCCATGTTGTTTTCCTGGAGATCGACAGATACTCGAACTTTTTTCTCCCAGTCCTTGAGTGCATCCCCGACGCTACGGAAAGGGTTTGGCTCGCTTTTTTTATCCGATGAAGATTCTTGCCTAAAAATTTGACATTTTGGTTGCTCAACAACATTTGTCCCATTATTTGACACCTCAGAAACCATCATATCCAGCTCTGAAGTATTTCTAGGAGGTAAACCACTCACAGGAGTAAGCTCAGTATGAATATCATTGCTATTTGCCCAATTCAACTCTGGTGCTACATCTCCTGGATCTGATGCCTTCATGTTACCATTTGGTTGTGTTGAAGATTCTGTGTTGGGCATATCCCTCTGTGAGTCAGGTACTCCCAGTTCTAACTCATCCTTGCTTAATTCTGAATTCATCTCAGTATTATCTTCATGATCCTCACTTTCAGGAGTTGCATCCGTTTGTTCAGTCTCTGCCTCTCCCATGATTTCATCAGTTGAGATTGCTTGTTCTTCTTCATGGTTCTCATTCTCCGCATTCTCATCATGCATTTCAGGATCAACCTCCATAGGTTCAGCTTCATCAGAATTTTGATTCAACTCCTCGGGCTCTAATCCTGTAGGATCTACAACTGCTTCTTGTTTGTCTAAGTTCATATCATCTGCATTCTCTCCATCACTTAGATCATCCTGGCTTCCAGTCTCACCATTTTCTTCATCCAGTTTATTTAAATCAAGATCTCCAGGTTCGTCGGCGGTGGCAGCAGAGTCTTCTTTGGCTCTAAGCTCTCTAGAACTTGGATCTTTATCTCTAACTGAATTTCCAGATTCATACTTCTCTTTAGTATTATTGAGATTTTCATCCTCATCTTTATCAAATAGTTTTTCATCAACAGCTTCACTGTCAGCTCCAGTTTCTCCCATTTTAGACTCTAACTGCTGATCTTCATCATCTTCATTTGCGTCTTCTTCAGAGTCCTCACTGACACTAAATGCATCAGCTTGAAAGTCCTCCTCAAACTCTATCCCCTTATCATTTTTACTTGGGACTTCACCTGCAGCATCTTGTTCTTCGCTGGCCTGCACATGCATGCATAGAAAAATTTAATAACATCTTGTCATGATGTGCCAAACGATAAACCTACAATAATAAACTGGTTTAAAAACTCAATGTACCCAAATCAATACCTTATCAGTTCCAAGAAGTTGATCTTCATCAGTGATCTGATCACTGACATCATTCAGTCCTACACCCTCCCCCATACCCGTTCCAGTTTTATCTTGAGATGTATTACCAGTAGCATCCTCCTCCTGGTCTTCAGAAGAGACCCCAGATCCCTTTGAATATAAAGCCAAAACATTTGCAAGCATGTGAATGGTTAAAGATACCTGCACATTAATATAAATATCAATCTCCTCAAAATAAAAAATTCAATAATCATGACAAATATAATCTAGTTTCCAATACATAATCATGTGAATGTTAACTTCCGTTCACGATAACATACATAACAGATGTCAGGGCCTATAATTTCCATATTGTATGCTATATATAAGACCATGCAAGTGTTTTTATTAGTGCAAATCGACTGTAAAAGTTAAGGCTTAATGGCTGAGTTAAGGCAGGAAGGCAGAGTGAGTTATTTCGGTTTGGGTAGGTAGCAGAACCAGATATGAGAGTAAGATTACCACCAACATGTTAAATCTTAGCGCAGAAAGAAAGATCACAGAA